GACCAAGTGGAAATCAGTAAAGAAAAAAAAAATGATATTTTTTAGCGCAATCACTGAGTCTGGGAGCGGCCATTTTTGCCCAAATATAGTAACCCCTCCCTCCTGCCATCTTCCAGCAGTGATGTCACGGTGCGGTAAGCCTAGCGCCATTCTCCCCGCTTTACAAGCTAAATCAATGGGAACTACTAGACACACAACTCCTTTCACTGTGGCTTCTACGTGTTTTTAACATAAATTAATGTAAAAAAAAAAAAAAAGAAAACAATCTGTTTAGAATTTTTACTGAGTTCATGACCCACATGACTGTAGGGTAGTGCGGCCTAATGCTTAGAGCAGTGCTTCTCGCACTCTGAGAAGGTTATAAGTACCCGGTTCGATCCCCAAAGGTGGGACTCTGGGTTCCTGAGCAAGACCCATAAATCCACACTGCTCTCTGGGCGCCACACAGTGGCAGCCCACTGCTCCCTAAGGGGAGACTTAATTTCCACATTGTGGGACAATAATACATTTGATTTGATAGCAGGAAAAATATCGCAAATATGGTGATATAGTGATAATATCGTATCATGAGTAGTGTTGTGCCGATGCCATTTTTCGGCCCCAGTACCCCTGGCTGTGCAGTATCACCCGATACCATACAGATTACATGTGTTTGAAATTGGTGTGTGTATATATGAACTGTATATAGAACTGCATACTACTTGGATGTAAAATAATTGCCTTCATGGCTTCATGTCAAGCTGCTGCCTACCTTTGGAAGCAGGAAAAAGTCTAATACGAAGTGAATCCAGTAGAACTTTTTATTGCCTACCTGGAATGGGTGACAATAGTTGAAGAAACTTTGGGCTCTCAAGATGGTATTGGTGCGCTATTTGTTGGTACTCGCTGATACCGATACCATCATTCTAGTGCTGGATGGGGGCCCCACTGGTATCGGTATTGGTGCAACACTACTCGTGAGCAAGTATCGTGACAAATATTGTATCACAACAACCATGCCAATACTCTGTCCTAGTTACAGACAGTTCTTAGAAAGCAGTCTCAGTCTGTTCTGACTCTCCAAGCTGCTATTTTTGACAACTGCTTTAATGGTTCATGAGACTGAAGGAAGTAAAACTCCATTAAGATCATTTTCTTTTCACGTCCCTGGATAATTTCAGATTGATTTAGTTAGAACTGAGAATGTCTTCATAGCATTGGGAAATAGAGGTCATAGCATTTAGTCTGGAGGAACATTACTGTAATTGAGAAAGCAAACAATTCTTGGCCGAGCGTCTGGAATGTGGCCATGATGACGGAGAACATGGACAGAATTGTAACAAGACTTGTGTTGACGTTAATAAAAACAAACAGTCATGTTGCCTCATTTAACTTATCGCCTTCTACGGCAATACATGGGTTTAAAGGACACATGACGTGTACACATGCTCAGGTGTCACTATTAAAGGACACACCTTCAGGGAGGGTAATTTGCATGTGAATGAAGCTTAATGCTGTTATAACACAGCTTGAATAATTCATCAGCATGGTGACCTTGCAGAGTCACCGACACATGGCTGGATCTGAAACGCACAAATAAAACTGGGTTTAAAGCACAGTGGATCGACAAATTCATACCTCCCATAATGCTGCAGTATTAAGGCTTGGTATTTATGTACTTTTTTATTTCGTTCTGTTATCTGACTGTCCTTTGTGTGGCTGTGTAGGTTTGCGGCCAGTGGACAGTGAGCTGTGTTCAGGGGTTCCTCCAAATACCACCCAGCTGTGCCACATAAGCTGTCCTGTGGACTGTGAGGTGTCTCCGTGGAGTGCTTGGGGTCCCTGCACCTATGAAAACTGTGAAGACCAAAGCAACAAGAAAGGTAAGAACTTACTGGATAATATTAGGCTTTATTCTCTTTAAATCTTTCAGTGTTTCTGCTGATATTTGTTTTGAGTTTACTGACTAAGGTAAGAAGCAAAAGATTATGGTTATGGTATGTTATGGTCTTTCAGTGTTAAGACTTGTTGGGGGCGGTTCTTTAATGATTCAACATAAAGATCTTAAATTGTGTGTGCAGAAGGAAGGTGACACAACCTGGATCTTTTCTTCTCGGTTTTAAAAGCTGAAAAACTGCTCCTGCAGTCAAATTAAGGTTTGATTAATGACCTTTCAGTGCTAAGTGTTTTATCTTTAAATCCTAAAACCGTTAATTTCTGCTGTTTGGTCTTTGGTCAATAAAGGATGATCTGTATGTTCATAAAGCCACACATGGAAAAAT